AATCAGTTATTGGAATCTTACTGTATTAAACTATTCAATATAAGGTGGGAAACCTCAACGATATGCAGGCATGTGTACGTAAATTGACCGTGTTTTATTTATAAAAAATCTAGTAATATCTTTGAGAAAACCCGTGAAGATATCAGTATTCTGGTAAGTTTGTTGATTGGTAACAGCCGTTTAGGAAACCATGGAAAAATATTGAATCATCCGTTGAATTATTCATGTCGCAGTTGCGGAAAGGACAATGAAAATGCTGCACATCTGCTTTGGTTCTGTCCATCGACTTTGCATGCATGGCTGCGATTCACTATGCCATGGGCTTATATAACTTCGTGTGCCAAGATAATGTCTGTTACCATAGCTTGCTTATTTCACTAGTTTATTTCAAAATTGCTGTTTAAAGAATATTAAATAATAAAAAAATTTAATATACAATTTTAAACTTCAATAACTTCAATAAGTAAGCTAAGTCAGCATATACCATAGTGAAAAAATTTGCTCAAATTAGCTGACTCTAATAAAAATCTGTTGTAAAGTTGACATGAATGAAAAATTGGAATCTCGAGTTCGATTATATAAATATTTGTTTATTTGCTAAAAACTATATGTGTTATTATTATTATTTACTTTTGGATTAGTAATTAAGATTTTTCATTACTGTTTACATGCAAGCAAAGTTTCTGATTCACAAAAAATAAATTAGATAGATAAAAAATAGAATCTGGACGCCAAAGCCAACCCTCATCGAATACCGACAATACTTGTCTAAGTTCCACTATTCACAAAAAAGGCGATTGGAGCAGACTTTACTAAGAACGAACAACTACTGCGCTAGTACAACATCCTCTTAGAGAAAACTATGATTTATATCGATAACTTATCAAATGTTGTTCAATGTTCAAGATTTGAAATATGTTTCTGCCTTATTCTTTAACTATCGGAACTTCCAAATCGATATGTATGTTTTCATTCCTGATATACCAGGGTGCACCAGTTATCATTCTTAGAATCATTGCTCGGGCTCTTTGCAGGATTTCTAATGTTGACGAATAGACATTGCCATATAACTGTAAGCCGTACATCTAGATTGGTTTAATGACTTGGTTGTATAACAACACTTAAAATTCTAAACATAAGAGATGCCCGATTAGCCAGAGAAGGCTTATAGTCTTGAGCTTCATTTGAATCCTTTTTGTTTTGATATGTTTCTGTTCACTTGGCATTTGTCAAGGTAAATACCAAGGTACGTCACTGTTTATATTTGCGGAGCTATATTCCGTTGAGTCTTATAGGATCTGTATAGGTGAGGAGGATCTGTTAAAAGAGAATATTATATGACAATATTTTTGATCATTAACTTTAATTCGCCACAGTGATAACTATCTTTCTACGAAGCACAAATGATTTTGCAGTTGACTAAAAGCGATATATATTTAGATGCCTTAAATAAATGATTGCGACAATTCTTACACTACATCACAAAGACTTTCTTATGTTTAATATATCGCTTTCGTATTATGTTTGTAAGGAGCTTAAAAATGATAAATCATAGCTGGGTTATAAAAAAAATAACATACAAAAACAAAGGGTATTTTATAATCGGTTTAGCCCTCAATAAACCTAAATTTAATTGCAGTATTAAAAAAACAACAAACAAAATAAAATATAAATATTAATTTAATTAATTGAATTTTTGCCTGGCCATACAGCTGTTTCGAGTACTGCCAAATACCCATCATCAGTGGTTTGGAAATAATTCTTGTATTTAATTATTCGTAAATAATTTTTTTATTTTCGTCAGTTTGTTAAGGTGCGCTGACTCTGAGCTTCAAATTTGGCAGGACACGAGTTCGATTCCTGATACTTGCAGTCTCAAAAAAAAAAAATAATAACCAATAATTCAATTAATTAATATAATATAAAATAAATTTTTCTGGTTGTAATTCACTACTGTTCGAAAAACCTATTTATAAATATTAATTTAAGTCTAAAAATATTACATCTACACAATTATGTCATGTAACATAATTAATAATTATATACATAACTTATTGATTTTATATATATATAGTAATATAGTAATGGCAAAACCATAACAATATCTTTAAATAATTAAATTTATTTAAGAAACTGAACATTTGATTAACTTAACAATATGTGAATAAATTTTTATTGTTATGTATTGTTAAAGTTAAAAGTATTGTATGTATATAATTCTTCATAATTAAAAACTAATTTGTGAATTCACACGCACATGCTATACGAAATATATTAAAATACGGGGGTGTTAATGAAAATTCGTTTTTCATTATATATTTCATGTTTCGGTTATTGGCACTAATATTAAAGAACAAAACTGAGTAGTTGTATATCAAGTTAGTTTTTCAAGGAGTTGGATGTGAGTAAAACTTATAAGATATTTTCCATTACCACATATTCGAGTATGTTTTTGGTAATT